ACGGGATCCACTTCACCCCCCACCCCCACCCCCTACTTCCCCAAGATAGTGTGCGCAGCCAGCAAAATCACCTCCGATTTCTGCCTGCTCCATGATAGTTTCTGGCTTGATCTATTCTTCGAGTCTGAAGATATAGGCGACATGTTACTCCGAAACGTCAGTTGAGTATCAACGGACTGCACAGCGTTCTATCCCAGCCGACAACCCCCACCCCCCTAAAGTAAAAGCAATGATTAACCAGAAGAGGACGTTTCTGTACATACCTGTGCGCATTCATAACGTTCGAACTCGCCTGTCCTCCCCTGCGTGCTACATGAACACAGTACTGACAATGAGGAGCTCGGTGTGACCCCAGCACGCGGGTATCTGCCGCCCCTCCGCTGATACCAACTTCCGCAATACATCCCCGGAGCAGGGGGCGTGTCATCGCTTTATGCTTCCACACTTGTTCATGACGTCTATTTCCGACTGCAAGCATAAGCTCCGCTCTCAAGGCCGTTGTAATAATACCTCATTGCGCAATGCAACTCAGTATTCAGAGGAAAATTTCCGTTCCTCATTCGGTTGATTAATTGCATAAATGGCGCATACCTCATTGCCTGGCTGGTTGCCTACACTGTGAAGGAGCTCAGTTCGAGGGTACTAACAGTCTCCACGTTTGGAAACGCACACCTGATATGGTTTCATTTGGTGTGTGGGACTGGCAATTAAACAGAGGCGTACCGCCGTCTCTTAGCAATTACAACTAACAATTCGTGGCTCTTCAGAAATATGAATAATGGCAGGTTGTTACCATGGGAACACACTAGTACCACAACGAAGAGTACACGCAACATGGTGCAACTGGAAGTTCACGGACGTTTCGATTCAACATACTGCCGCCATCTGCAGGGTCTAAGAATCATCTAAGCAAGCAGCCTGGGTTAGGGTCCGGAGATAACCAGCAGAAGCCAGAAGGGCTATGTCTCACAAATGGACATATGACACAAGGCAGCTTGGCTTAAGATGAGGGCAGTGCCCGTATGGTTCTCTGAAACGTCGGTGAAGTACTACCGGACCACACGGCGTCACATCTCACAGGTCACTGCTGTGAGAACCTCAAATCCGACATGTAAGCTTTCCATTTGTCTAACACGCGAATTGGTGGGTCTGAGGAAGGCCACGAAGAACCTCAGGACACGTGTGAGGAGTGACCAACTGGGACACTCACTGACTGCGAAGCGACTTTGTGCGCTGCCCGGCTGACCTGCGTCATGGGGTCGGGGGGACGTGGAGTACAGGGCACAGGGATGTCACCTGAGCGCACTGCGTCCACTGGAATCAGCTGCCGTTCGGATGGGACTCACACAGTTGCCAGAGAGGCAACCCGCAGTGCAACACGACACGGAGTAGCAGGGCCGTGCTGTACCCCACATTCGCACCCCTCTTATGATGAGTGGCGCTTGATGCACGCCAAAGAACTCAGAAAGAGAAAGCGATCGCGCCCTGGTTTGAAGTATATTATCCCGAAATTTTCCTGGATGAACTGAGGAAGACCAAGAAGTACCTGTGCCCGGTTATCTGGCCTTCGGACCGAGATTTGAACCCAGGAACTCCCCAATACAAAGCAAGAGGTACAGTAAAGTACCGTAATTATGTAACAATAAAGGCTTTGTCCGAGCAGCACATTCAAGCTTGGCAAAAACACTGCATTATGGCGGATGTACGTCAACTGTGGGCCGCGAACTGTGTCCGGCTAGCGATATCACAAATCGCCATCTCCGACAACAATGCGTTTCTCTCCCCCGCCCCCACCTACATAGCAAACACAAGGGCAGCTAGATTATCGGTTGAAAACAAAGCCCAATGTTTAGTATTTGTTTCAACAGAGTGGCCTCGGGTGCAAACAGACCTTACGGGTGATAATACGACTAATATGCAGCGTTGAAGAAACTAACTGGATATTTGTTTCGTTCTCTTCAGATAAAACCGTCATTACTTAAAAAAGTGGCTTTCAAACTGCGACCGAAAACCTTGTATATCGTAACTACTGGACAACAGAGATACTGGGGCTTCAGCCAACCTTGTACTGAATGAGTTCCGGGGGTAAGGCAGCCAGTGCGTGATGCTAACAACTCACCTCCATTCAGTCCCCCCATTTCGCTTACATCTTCACGGTGAGTAATTTAACTGAGGAGAGGGATAACTTTCTTATCATCTTAACGTCTCACGCTCATCTCTTTCGCAAAGGCTCTCATACTTCAGCTCAGGGGTCAATGGGTCACAGGGCAGAACGTAGGGACGTAATAGAGAAAAATACATAAATTCCCGTTATCAGTCGGTATAGTGACTATCTAGGAGCTGGACGATCGAGGGGCCGGAGTTCGAGTCCCGGTAGGGTCAAGACTTTTCTATTCTCCACAATGTCCAGACCTGATGTGGGGCCTACCCAGCCTACAATCCAATGGGTACCGTGGATAAAGCGGTAAGGGCGTGAAGCTGACCGCTCACCTCCAACTAGGGCCGAGGTCATGAAAATGCGGATCTATACATCCATTCATCCATACGCCTTCATGGCCTAGTGCACAGGGACAACTTTACCTTGTCACGTAACAGAGTCAGGGCAATTGCATCACGAACGATGTACTGAGCAACTTACCTCAGGCGCTAAACTTTTTGACTTTTATTCGGGGGGTAACGGGTTGGAATCTCGGCCCCAGTACCGACTATCGTGAATGAGCTTTTCCGCGTTTTTCCTCAGTCCCTCCAGATAATTGCCGCATTCGACGATACAGTCTAGATTATGACAGCATCGTTAAATAACACACAAAAGAATGTGAGGTGGGAGGGGCATGTAGCACGGAACGGAAATCAAGAATATTCTAGAGCGTTTCTTCGTAAAGGCTTGTTGTTCTTGTTGCTTTAAATACCGGACGATAGGATGGGATGGTATGGATTGGATTGAACTGGCTCAGGGCAGGGGCCAGTGGAGGGCTGCTAGGAAAACGGTAATGAAACTTCGAGTTCCATAAAATGCTGAGAAGTTCTTGAGTAGCTGCAGAATTGAGTTAACTACAGCACAGTCTGCTACTAGACGTTTCCTGGCAACGGCTCTTCCTCTGCCTCCGGCTCACGTCCTCTCGTTACTGATTCCCGTACGGAGGTAACTAAGCAGACTGAGCAGGTAGAACACACAGTTCTATTGTTGCGTGCGTTACCTAGCTACGGCCGCTGTGTGAAGAGTCGCCGCTTAGCAACGGCTCTATGCGCCACAGTATACTCGTACGTCCATAGCAAGAAGAAGCACGTCACTCAACAAGACAGTCTCTGTGCACTGATGCTCTCAAACACGAGAGATCTCGACAGTACCACGGGAAGCAAATTATGAACTCAAGACAAAACATCCCCCACCCTGCCAGTGGAATATCTCCATTTGCAGCCTGAAGGAACCGGTTTCTATTCTGACGCAGTAAACAACCCCCATAGGGATTTCATCATTCCCTTACGTAGCTCTGGAGTGGGATGAAGGGACGCCAAGCTGCTTCCTTGCCTGTTCATCCCAACTAGCAATTTATATTCCCTCTTCACCGCTACTTATTGGTACAGTATAGTTCAAGACAGCAGAAACAAGTTTCGCTTCATTTGCTGTGTGTGAGACACAATATCACGTGACTCGGTAAGCATTTGTAGTCACACGGCCGGCCGCAAGGCTGCGTTCTGAGTTCCGAGGGCTCCGTCCCATTACAAGCTATTTAACCTCTGCAGCTGACGCAAAAGGCAAAGTTAATACTGAAGCACCACGCCACGAACGCGTAGGGGTGAAGGGACAGCTTCACGCCCCAGCCGCTTTACCCATTAGCTGGCTGGGCCATGGAGCCGGTCCGGAAGCTGTAGAGTAGAGAAAAGTCTCTTGCCCATACGTCCAGGTCGTACTGTCATGAAGTAAACCATGCAATAAGCTGACGGTCTCCCGCAGCACGAGGTTCACGGCCAGCGGCGGCAGACAGTGGAGCTGTCAGAGCATTTACCGCATTGCACACAGTAGCCTCGGCCACGTGTAATCTCACATGCTGAAAGCGTCATTAAATAAAGCACAAGTAGCCCCCGGGGCGCTGCGCACTTGTTGTCACGTCACTCAACAAGGAAGCGAGCGCGAAATTCGAATGGCGAGACTCTGACGTAAGCAGGACAAGTACAAACCGCGGTGACCAGCAATTGGGGAGGGTGGCAGTTTCTTTGCACACGTCGCCTGACGGCACGCGTATGCTGTTTACTGACACTGAATGAACTGGGAAGGATTAGAGAAGAAGCGGTCGAAGCCTATTTCAAAGTTACCCTGGCATTTTCCTGGTAAAAGACTCAGGATATGTGGTTCACAGGCTCGAACCTGCTACTTGAGCTAACCTGACCAGGGATGTGCTTCCTTTTGTTCAGTTTCTTGCTTATTGATGCTCTGCGCGTCGAAACTGCATACCGTCGGCTGATAAAATGACTGATGAATGGGAAAGGATTTGGAAGGAAACATTCATGGCCTGTACAAGACACAATCACGGCATTTACTTGTAGGGACCGAGGAAAACCACGAAGAACGTCAGTCAGGATACCCAGCAACCCGGCCGAGATTCGAACCGAGGATCTACCGGATATGAGTCCTCCTTTAGAAGCTCATGGTTTCTCACCTCGCCAAGGACATCGCCATCTTTTGTGGAAGCTGAATGCTCGTTGCCATGTTCACAAGAGTCCACCACTTGACCCTGTACTGTCACATAAATTCAGTTCCTCACATGGAGTCTGCCAACCGGTCTTTTCCACTGAGATCCCTCTCACTTCTACCATGCGTGCTGCATGTCCTGCTAACGACTTCGCTGCACCAGCCCCGAACGAGGAAGCGTGCTGACACTACGCCGTGTGGGCATTCATGCTTAAAGCAATAGACATGCTCTGAGAGGTTACCGAATAAAACCACGAACAGTGCCATGTGTTAGTGAACTCGGGATACACGAAACCTCGCCGATGTTGACATGCGCGGGCAGCACACCCCTACAAGCCCCTGGCAGAACGTGGCGCCCGCCAGAAAATTATGTCGTGAGGTGAAAGTGTCAACTATGACTGATAAGGGAAGTGCTCTGCGCCGTTGCTTCCCACACCGACAGATATGGCTGAAATGCGTCATTTTGCTGCTGCGTGAACGCAGATCAGAGGGCTGCACGTGTGCAATGGCGCGGAGGAAGGACCCGCTCACCCAAGCACGACCTAAGTTCACGGAGTTGAATGATCTGATTTCGGAGAGGGTAAGTACGCCGCCGTCTGTCATGGCGCTCACTGACCTTGCAAGACGCCTGTTCACACTGTGACGCCATCGCATTGTACTGTTCGTTTATGGCTGTCAGTGTACGTTAACGTAGTACAGCGTCGAATGGTACAATCTTTCGTGAATAATTAATTTAAAAGGACCTGCAAGGGAACTGCAGCAACCCCCATAATATTCAAACCGAGTGGGTGCGCTACCCTTGTCACTTCAGAATGTAAGTCTGTATCAGTGGTACCCACAGGGGGCCTCTCCGAGCGCGCTATGATTGTAGTGACTTTAGACCACACATAGAGAAATTTGTATGACGTCATGAAGCCCATCCACCGCAGTACGAATTTACTAACAGTGAAGTGGCTACTAAGCGGCACTATCTTATTTTATTGTTGTTATCTTCCTTCGCGGGCCGTGCAAACCGCTGTTCTGAAGAAAGGGACACTGGTGACGAGTTTATGAAACCCGAGAAAGTTTGGGAACCATCGGTCTACATGATATCGTACCTCACACACTACGTCACCGCTACAAAGCCCAACCGGTTAATACTGTTTAGGGATACAGTCGCTGTTTATTGTGATAACCATACGAAACACAGATACACTCTGTGGGCAGAATGCAGACTTACTGAATATTAAGGGAAGTGGTACATATAGTGACCGCTGTGCTCTAAAAGGGATAAAACCTTCCACCAACGTAAAACTTACATAACCGTCTATAGGAACTTATCAGATGAGAAGTTGCGCTTTATGTTCCATGGGCCGACGCTACGTCACAGGGTTTCGTCCTTGTCCTGAATTGCAGATGGCTGCTAATTGTGCCGTAACCATTGTAAGAAAAGGCCCCCGTCATCGGCGTGTCGCTGTCTACAAGCGTGAGAACTGTCAGTTTAACATTTCCTACAGGCCCAACCAACTCTATAGGGTAGAGTACTTGGGAAGCTGATAGTCGATCAGCTAATAACGAAATTCCCCTATTTTATTGAAAATGAACATTTCTGTCGTGTTAATAAGAGCTCGCCGTTGGATTGTATGCCGAGCCGGAGGAATCCAATCAACACCTAGATTTTGCAGGTGGTCTCTTCTCTTCACATTTCTCAGCAGCTGACCCGTTCTAACGTCAGTGGCTGAGTGGCTTCTCCATATTCATCTGTGCAACCTGTAAGCGCCATCTTGATGCACTTCCCGGTAGCTCTGGCTGTACGAAGCACTTGGCCAACTTCCTGACCGGGTAACTGAGCCATCTCGTGAGCGTTGGGCCGTGTAAAGTGAGCACGGCACGTCCTGAATCTGCGGCTGCGGACAGACGACAGTGGGTGGTCCTCCAACATGGAACTAACAGTGTTGCACATAGGTGCGTGAGAGAGAAGTGCGCACAAATCATTGGAAGGAAATCCTGAAAATGACCACTAGGAAGATATAGACGTAGATGGGAGGAGCCGAAAGAACGCAGTAAAATCGTCTCGAGCTTCTTCCAGTCATCATTCCCCGAGTTCTGCAATAGCTGACAGGCAGTACATTATCACATTCCAGCTCCGTCCCTGTCCCGACACTTGGCTAGTTACCCAGAGGTCTTTGGGAACGTTTGCTTTACTAGCCCTTCGCTTTTATGTCATTTTGCAATTGTAATACTGGAATGTGTGCATTCCTGCCCCTCAGCCGCTTATGACGTTTACTGGAAATCGAGAGTGCTACTGTCCTTGGACCCGCTTGGTGACTTGGTGACCACGGTCCGCCAGCGCACGCGTGTTCTAAACAGGGGACGTGGAAACTGAGATTTGAGGTTCTCACAGCAGTGTGTGACGTGTAGTCTGATAGATAATTACAAGCGTTTCCCCGTAAGTTTCTGCTTCCATCTTCAGGGTAGAAGAATTTCGTGCGAGGATGGCTTCCATCTAAATTATATTTAAAAACTGAGATACTGCCTCACAGAGGACACACTGCGTCTCCGTACCAACGACCAACTGGTTGAAGGGAAACAATTGCTTTTTGTTGTAAGAATCATACGGAACACGTAAAACAACGTGTGGGTAAAATGCACATATTTGAATACTAAATCAGGTGGTACATATAGAAACCATTTTATTTCAAAGGGTTTCATTAAACACGAACAGCGTTGTCCCTGTGCTTAATTAAACCCCACGCCTTAAAAACGTATGTGGGACAGAAGGTAGACAACTAGACGTGGCTGAGTGGTTAGTTTCACGTTCCAGCTGTTCTACAGCCGTCGAAAGAGTTCCAGGTGGAGCCGAGAGCGGGTCCGGACGGTGAGGAGAAATCTTTTCTTGACGCCGGAAATGCAACCCTGATTCGTAAACTCATACAACATTACGAGAACGGACGGATGGACCCCTAATCGCTTCCTTCTCTGCATGCTGAAAATAGAGCATTTTAGGGTCACTTGTCTCCTTTGCAGAATGGCGGGAAGGCGTTGTTCGCAACGGACGAGTGGTTCGCAGCTGCTGAGAACCTCATCAAGGTGAGTTATGGTACGAGATGCCTGTCTCTTCAGGGTCAAAGGGACTTCTGGCCTCAAGGTAAGGCAGCACTCACACATCAGACCGAAATCTGAACAGTTTTGTGTTCGGATTTTGTAACAGGTGTAATATGAATGCTGATATGACAGCCTGAGTGTAGGGCGCGCTTGCGTGTTGCAGGCCGGGGAGCCGGAGTGGCGTCCAGACGCCTTCACAGACAGTGGCAAGTGGATGGACGGCTGGGAGACGCGACGCAGGAGGATTCCCGGACACGACTGGGCCGTCATCAGACTGGGTCAGTGTTCCCGCACCACCGAACGCAACATATGCCTGGTTTGTTGAAGTTAACCGGCGTTTCGGGCAGTATGTCGCCGCCATCTTCAGTGTCAGAGAGTAAGTCAAGAAACCGGAATTAAGCATGCAGCAAGCTGAAGACTGGGGTGACATGTTCCTTCGAAACGTCGGCTGACGTGGAACTCTTCAACATGACATGTTTGAGAACTCCACTACACCTCGTGTAGTCGCACAGTGTGTTCCACAAGTGCAGTACCGTCCAGCCCTAGTTTTGTTACTCAATTTGCCTAATACCAGAACACAAATCTATCAAACCCCTCTTGTAGAGAGCAGGCGACATTGAGACCTGGGGTAGGGGTTAGACCCTGCCAGGATCCAGAGCCTTAAGAGGGCTTTTCTTGCTTAGTCCAAATGTAACAATATATATTATTAATATTGTTATCCCTGTACCATAATTAATCTGTGACACACACACATAAATAGACTCTCATAAGGTGACTCCGGGCTGCCCACAAACATCAGAAGAATTTTGTGCCATTCTGCCGCTTCACAGTTTCTGCTCTAGGCTTCTTTGCATTGACGTTCAGGGTTAGCACAGGGTGGGATAGGACGAAGGTTTCTTTTTCTGTGGGTCGTTTAATGATGCTGTCAGCACTGACAGTATGATGCATTAAATGCCAGGATGATTAATGAACATGGATCAGTTGGTGCAATGAAAACCACCTCTTTGTCCATCACAAATGCAATATGACGTAGCCTAGGAACGAACCAATGCCACCACAGTGGTCCTGCTTGAGATTCAAACCGAGCACACCGTGAACATAAGTTCAGAGCGTTACCACAAGACAAACCCATGCTGCATTCCAGCCCCCAGAAATTAAGCAATAAACATACTCGTGTGTCTGACTTATGCAGCACATATAACAGTAGGCATACACAATGCTAATTCTCACCTCTGTGTAAAGTGGCATGGCTAGGAATAGCCCTGCAGTAACGGGATTGCCTTTAGCAGGATCACAGACACTTCTCTGCATAATCACAGGCATTTCTGCTTGTCATTTCAAATGACTGTCGGTAGAGAATTTAACATTGTATGTATTTATGTTATAAAGTAGGTGTGCTGTATGTTCATGTTATCTAGCACACATAAAAATGTAACCAATCACCTGTTTCTTACTGCGGACCTAAGAGAGACGACCCAAAGATATGAAATGTAGTGGCCACGACTGTAAACTGGTGTACAAGAATTGTGGTAGAGTTTTTGGGTGCAATTCAAATCCTCATCCCCAATATGTGGACAGGTGTTCCAGGTGTGCTGCACGGACTCACCGTGGACACCGCATTCTTCACAGGCAATTACGCACCTCGCTTCTCTCTACAAGCTGCCAACCTTACACCAGAAGTTAAGTTCCTTGCATATGCAAATGCCAAATTCAAAGGAAATGAGTGATTGTGAGTCCCACATAGCAGGCCTGTAATGGCACGCCGCTGGATGAAGCACGGTTTTGTGCCAGACTGAACAGCAAAACAGTGAAGAAGATGCGCGGGGAAGGACTCTGCTAATTTGGCAATCAAGGAACCAGACATGTGTAACAGAGGATGACATCACAGAGTTGTGTTCTAACAATCTGTGCTGTTTATTTGACTACAAATGTAGGAATTACATGATATCACAACACAAGAGGAGTCTCTGACATTCCCATAAAATTTATGAGCACACAAAGCACATTAATATTGCGGGCCAGGTATAAGAATTTACCTGTTTCAATATGTTGTCTATTTCTCTTCCAGAGGAGGCAGAAATCCCCCATTGGAAGAGTAAGCTTGGAGGTGCTGCCACTCCCGAGATGCTCAAGCAAATATCTGGACTACAGTCTCAAGTAAGACTCAGTTCTAAGTTAAGGCTCACTCCAAGCATTGTCTAATTGAGACATCAAATCTGTATTGGATTGCATGCCTGATTAACCTGGGGTTCGTGAGTAGAACTCACATCTACACATGGTTCGTTGGCTTTATCCAGTTCATGACTGCTCTAATCATTAAACAGAACCATCATGTGAGCCAGCATTGTTAAAGTAGCAGCAATGGAAGAGGAAATGGAACTAGCAAAGTTACGAAGTCACGTCCTTATGTCTTCAGTGCCTTCGCAGTGAAAAGCATAAGAACTGTCCCCTACAGCTTTGCTGCCTTTCGTCTGCCAAACTGAGTTGTATGAGATTTTGTTTCCAGTCAAATTATGGAACAGATTCCTTCCTGAGCTGCTTCCCTTCTCTGGTTCAGTCCTGTGTTCACAACAGCCTGCCACTGGACCCCTACCCAGTCAGCCCGTACAAGTACACACTGTTTTCCTGAGACCCACTTTTATACCACTCTCTCATCTACGTCTCTCTGTGGGTTCTTTGCCTTCAGGCTTCCTAACCAAAATTTGTATGCATTTCCCATTTATTTCATGAAATTAAATTATGATATCAAATAGATGTTGGAGAAATTTGGTAAAGCAGAAAGCCTTTCAAAATGTGTGAAACTGCCATGTTCTCTGTCACAAGAACATAAACACAAAGACAGATGACATTACCAGTAAGTGTATAAGGTTATGGGGGTGATGGGAAATGGTAAAACTAGCTGGGCAGTAGTGCACTCCACTGAATTCATATGGAATGCAGTTCCTAATGCCAACATTTGACACACTTTATTCTGTGCACTGCATACAAAATATTTTGGGTTGGCCTGTAACATGATTTCTGCAGTGCAGCTCCAAATTGACTTCCATCTCCAAACCATATGATATACATGCACAGCAAAACCAGTGAGGAAAAGTAAATGGTTTTGCCAGTTTCACACTTGCATTACCATCCTGAAGCATGGAACAATGTCAAGACTGCAATGAACAGGACTGGGAAGTGCTGGTTCCAATGACGAAGCTCCATGCAGGGCATGAGGACACTCGGTACAACTACCACGCCATAGACAACAGGGGATCCTGGACTCATGTTCGCCTTAACATCTACCCTGATGGTGGCATTGCAAGACTGAGGTTGTACGGTGAGGCACGCCCAAACTGGAAAGATGTGAGCCCTGATGAGGTAAGAACTCGCTCTAAATCTGCAGTTCTGTACTGTTTATAGTTCAAAATGTTTTCCTGAGCAGTCCTTTTAGATTTTTTTGTACTACTGAGATGTTAATGGAAGTTCAGTTGTTAAAAGCATACAAGAATATTCCAAAGAAGTGCTCCCCCCTCCAATTTTACTGCTAAAGCACAGAAAACATTATGCAGGAAGATGTCTCAAGCTTCTGAAGCCTCAACATATGACATAAACTCAGTTTGTGCCTCACAGAAAACACTACCACCATTTCCAACTGGTTAATGCTGTTAAGAGAAATAATCACTGTTTATTGTGAGAATCATATGAAACACATAAATACACTGCATGGGAAAAATAGTGTACTGTAATGCCAAAGCAGGTGGTAGATGTAGGTACCATTCAACTGCAATTTCATCACATGTGATTGTCACATCATATAATGTTCTTCACAGCCTACAGATCTCATAGCAATGGTTAACGGCGGTACATGCCTGGGGTATAGCGATGCTCATTACGGGCACCCAAGAAACATCATACGCCCAGGACGAGGCGTCAACATGGCTGATGGCTGGGAGACAGCAAGACAGCTGGACAGGCCGAGTATATTAGAAGGTAACTTCATAATTTTTGAGTAGACTGGTATTTCTGTTTGTCTAATGTTACCTAACCGTTCCTTGCGCTTCACACAGTTATGAGCTACAGACCATGCATTATAAAGTACATATCGTTATGTCCCCTTCAGCCTATTCTCTTGTTTAACATTATCTTGATTTAAAGTCTTGCATTTTCTGATTTCATTTCTTTCTGCCTAATCTTCTACACCTCTCACAATTTTACCTTTGTAACTTTTATTTTACTGTTGGATTTTTCATTAGAAAATTATCCTTTTGCTGCCTTTATTAACACAGAAGGCTGCAATGCGATTCCAGCACTATAATTTGTTAAAATATCGGTGGCAAACTGTTCTGTAAGAAGGGCTGAATTGCGCACAGACTTGTTGACAGGGGAATGTAACTGTGTGCAGAAGTGTGGGGTCAATATGAAGACGTCTGTCTTCATGTGGTCCACTGGAAGTCAACCGATATTCTGAAGGAACATGTGGCCTCCATCTTCAGGGCCGAAGAATGAGCCAAGCAAGAAACCAGCATTAAGGCAGGTGGCAAGTAGAGGCCTTCACACGGCCAACTTGCTTTACTTATTTCTCGACCCTGACGATGGAGGTGACACGTTCCTCCCAAAAGTCAGTTCACTTTCAACAGACTACACGGTGTTATAACCCAGAAGACAGAAATCTTCATAAGCACTGCTGTGAGAACCTCAAAGCCTGCACGTGGTATCAGTACGCATACACACATACTGCCCCATGTTCTCAGTTCAGAATTCCATCTGTTCTGAGACAATGATCATATGGGATGTGACACCATATGGTTCTGTAGGTAGCTGGAACCTGATCTTCCATCTTCAGGGTTGAAGTAATCTTTATAATTTGTATTCAGCAACTATCATTAGAATGGTCAATTGCTGAGATGGACTGAGCATGTAGCACACACAGAAGAGAAATTCATGCAAAGTTTTGTTAGGCAAACATAGGAGAGGCTATTAGAAAGACCCAGGCATAGATGGTAGGATAATACTAAAAGAAACAGGATAAGAGGGTGTGGACTGGAGTCACCTGGCTCAAGATAGGGAATGGGGACAAGCCCTTGTGTAGTGAATCTTTTGGTTGCATACAGTGCTGAGAACTGTCTGAGTGGCTAAGCAACTACTGGGATCTCGAGAACTCAGCTGCAAATACTCAATCAGTTCATCACGGAAACCTCACACCTCATGTCACTGAGGCAGTTCAGAACTAATATTCTAATATTATAGGTAAAGGTAAAGCTGTCCCTGTGCTTAACTAATTAAGCACTACACCATGAAGGCGTATGGGGAAGTGTATATATAGACCCACATTTTCTTGACCTCAGAACTAGCTGGAGGTGAATGGTCAGCTTCACACCCTGGCCGCTTTACCTGGTATCCACTGTATCGGAGGTTGGGTGGACCCCAGAGCCAGTCTGAATGATGTGGAGAAGAGAAAATTCTTGAACCCATTGGGACTCAAACTCTGATCCCTCGGTTGCCAGCCCATAGCCAGTCGCTATAGCAACTATGCCACCCTGGCTCCGTTCTGTGATTATAAGAAAAGATAAATCCTTCCGAAGAATCAATTTACAAATAAACACCTCAAGCCAACTTATCAGGAAAATGACTGAATATAATATTAGGAAGCTGTCTGTTTCACAGCTGACAGTGATGGAATGCTGCAAATGCCAGGCTGCGAGTGGGCGGTGTTTCAGCTTGGCCATTGTGGCTACATCACGCACATTGAAGTTGACACATACCACTTCAAAGGAAACTATCCTGACTCAATTCGCATTGAAGGAACCACAGAAAAGCCACATGGAGACTGGGGACAGGCAACATGGTACACCCTGCTTCCACCTCAGAAGGTATGTCTGTCACAAGGGTATGGACAAGACGGGTTGCCCACAGGTACGATCAGCTAGGAACAGGTGTCAGTCTGTCCACTGTATGCAGGCAGCTGTGTTGCAGACAGATGCACAGCTGACTGCAGCATCTGATTTTACACAGCACTCTTGTAAAGCAATCATGGAGTGAGGAAGAATCCCACTTTCACCCTGCCACATAAAACCACAGTCCCAGTACTGTGGGGTTGCCAGCCTCACTTTAATCTTGGGGTAACAGTCTATCAGCCAGTAACAGATTTTCAGTCTCCCAGTTCTGCGGAGCTGGTTTTCTTATTTTATGTCTACCTTACAATATATTGGCCTGCAAAAGGACATGTGCTCTGGGCAGATGAAACTGACTGAAGGCCATGCAGAAAATGTCTTCCTATTTTTTTTATTGCTAGTGGGGTGGGACTAAGTCCCTTGTACTGCGGCCACTTCTGGCCTATTGCACCAGCCCCAGATGATAGGTGAGGGTGATTGTGGAGCAATTGGTGGAATGAAGATTGGCAGGGGAAACCGAAGTACTTGTAGAAAACCTTCCCCAGCGCCATTTGTCCACCACAAATTCCAATTGACCAGACCCGGGATCAAACCTGGGCTGCCACGGTGGGAAGCCAGAGACTAACTGCTTGAGCTATGGTGTGGCCTAAATGTCTTCCTCAGTTTCTATCTGTTTTACATGTATTTTTATAATGTCCAGGTTTCCTCTAAAATTAAACCTGTACTTACATTGCAGCTGTGCCCTCATACGCAACATTTCTACAGCGAGAAGAATCTGGAAACAACGGGGTCGTTCATGTACATCCGGGTGACAATAGCCCCTGATGGGGGTATCAGTCGTCTCAGGCTCTGGGGCTACCGCCACAACAGCACATAACAGCATTATGAGGGGCTGTGAGGCTAACTGTAATCCTGCTAGGTTGGGGCACGCTACAAGCCCCGAGAAATTAAATTGTCTAAAAAATGAGTAAAAATATTGCTTTCTCAGTAGTTTCCTGAAAGTTGTATGAGGTGTTAACAAATTAGCACTCTATACTGACAAGATGTATGCTAACATTGGCAAGATAAGCGTCACTTTAGCATGAACCTGAAATGGCAGTCATGTATTAATGGGTGACCCAAGAAAATATAAAAAGTTACAGCCATGTTGTCTGCCATATTAGCACTGCCAGACTGGTTTCTTGCTTGGCTTACTCCTCAGCCCTGAAGATGGAGGGAAGCTGTTCCTCCAGTTTCATCAGACTACACAAAATTATCTGTCAGAGGACAGATTTCTTAATGTGAGAGTACTTAAGCAGTAGCAGGTAACCCAAGTTTTCATGCAGAACAAAAGGATGGATACTGTTTGAACAAGTCCACAAGGTTAAGCTTTCTGTTTTAGTTTTCAAAAATGAAATATCTAAACCCTTGAAAGGTCAGGCTCTGGGTTTTGTTTCTTATAAATAAATTTCTATGGCTGGCAGGGATACGGTAGGAGACAACATGGTGTTGAAATGTTAGTTACCTGTCACCCACTGACACACACGTACCCCAAATTTTCTTCTTACTTACTGCAGCAAACACACACACAGTGCCCCATCCTGATGAATTTGTGCTCCATGTACCGAGCCCCTAACCCGCCACTGAGGTCACTTTGTACCTGCAGTTGCTAGACCTTAATGAAACAAGCAGACAGAAAAGAGCAGTTGGGCTAAACTGTAAAGGAAAGGGATCTATTGGATGTCCCAGAAGAAGATGGTTTCGCTAAGAACTAGAAGAGAGCAAAGGTGAGGGGAAACAGTGGACAGAAAATCAGAAAGGAAAGATCATGGGAACTGAGAAGAGAGTGCAGACTTTTCATCCAGGAGTCCATGCAAAACAGAAACAATGCTACAAGATGTAGAGGTCACGTTATGTAAGTCGTCCCGACTCACTTTAATCTTAACATAGCTATAAGTGTCATGGTTATCGTTACCAGACACAAGGCATACTTGTAGAGGGTACCTACAAATATGTTGAAGAAGCTGACAGGGGGCAGTCCTTCAGTTGGGACTTAAGAGTGGATTCACGTGGCTCAAGAGAGAGTCTGCTGGGGGGCTCTTGTGAACACAGGAATGAACCTTAGATTCCATAAATGGTGAGGAATTTCATGACTAGATGAGCGAGTATTGTCTTCTCAAGGACTTGGACCCAAAACATTTTCATCCCACAACGCAGTGGTTTCCAAAGTGTGGGGGTGCAACCCCCTGGGTGATGGTCAACTATTTGGTCCTATCAGATATTCTGGAAAAGTGATATATATAGCAGTACTGAACTGATGATAACTATGTTGGGGATTGATTGTTTAATTTCTAGCATTTGCAAAATATTTATAAATATTAATTAATAAAGACCCAGAATGTGTTAATGTTAAAAACATGCATATTGAAGGAAACCACTCTCCACATAGGAAGTTAAGAAGGGGCACACAATGAAATTTTTGCTACGCTTGGGGGGTTGCAATTATGCACAGCTTGGAATTCACTGACTTTGCATTTCAACAAAGCAAGCTACACAAACAGTGACTGAGAACCCCGTTAACATTTTCAGTAGACAAGGAACTTCAAATACACTCAACAGATGACCATTCAGCTTATATTTACACAAATGTCTGAAGCAAGAATACAAGCAGTGTTACAATTACAGGCTGTGTGAAGCAGATTGTATTACAAGCGTCACTTCCTTTCCTTCTGGTTTCTTTGAGTTGTAGCGACTGAAATACAGCATGCCCCAGTGACTCACACGCTGATTTCCCACTTTCTGGTTCTCACAATTTCAGCAGCAACTGTCACCATTTCCCTAACCAGCCCTTCTGATGTCACAAGCACATTCTGCTGACTCCTGGACCCCAGGGTGCACTTGCTGGGTGGACCACTACATTTCTTCAAAACCTTAGCTGATGCATGAAATTCTCGTGCTCCTGTCTGTCGAAGAATTTCCCCAATGTTCACTTTTGTGATTCCTGCACCAGGCATGATAATAATTCGTCCATTTGCATTCAAAACTAATTTCTTTATAACAGGAATTCCTTCACTTGCTGTTAACTCCTGTCCGCTGGTCAGAAGACGGGAAAATCCAGCCTCTATGACAGCAGGTAGAGCCATGCGGATATCATGACACACATCAAATGCTCGATGGAATGTGGCTGGCAGAGGCGACACTACATCCATGATTTCCTTGCAGACATTCTTGTCTATCTCACCAGATGGAGTCAGAGCTCCAAACACAAATCCATCCGCACCCAAGTTCTTTAATATGCTAGCATCATGTTTCATAACCTCAACTTCATAACATGAATACACAAAATCTTCACCCCCACGAGGACGCAACATTACAAATACTGGTATTGTTACAAGAGATTTAACAATCTGGAGCATTCCTGGAGAGGGGGTGAGCCCACCTTCACTCAAAGCTGCACACAACTCCAGACGAGACGCTCCCCCATTGTAAGCATTCAGAGCAGACTCCACACTGTCAACACACACTTCCAGCATTGCGCTCTGCAATAGAAAGAACAGACACACATTATTACTGGCATCCAGAAATGAATGGCCCAAATCAAGGATCCTCACTGCCAGGCGTGGAAATTTAAACATTATTTTATTTCTTTTTTAAAGTAAAAAAAACACACAAAAAAAAACAGATTTCTGTGGCATATCTGTTAACATATGTCTTAAGTTTAAGTGTGTAAATTTCACATCAAATCAATAGTGAATATATATCTAAATTAATTAACAATTCTGTGGAAGGCGGGATGGCTTAGTCGGTACAGCGACGAGCTACGGGACTCGACGGCTGGGATTCGATTCCCGGCAGGGACAGGAGATTTTTCTGTTTAGCCTCTAGACAGGCTCTGGGGCTGACCCAGCCTCCTGGGTACCGGGGACTCTTTCCCCAGGCACAAGGCAGTCGGGGCATTAAACACAACAAGTAATATCTAAAAAACTGAAATATTCAATGCATTGCCGACTACTATTGCACCATAACCTCAACACAACATCTTACCTTCACTCCACTCCGTCGCCTCCTACGCCAATAACATGCTACAATACTGGCAACATAAAGTGAATGTACCCTCCAAGATAACATGAGGTACAAATGTACCACCATTCCTTGCGTTCGGCTGTTTCATAAAGTGTTCACCAGAGTCCATCACTAGACAGCCAAGTGAATAGATGCCATATATTGTGGCCCCTTTTCTAGGAGATCCAATCGGAATAGGGCACCCAGAAAATTTCGTTTCAAATTTGCGTTGAAGCCGTTTAAGAATATTTTACGGAGCGCCAAAGAGCATTCAGAATAGAAGGATTCAGTTTGTATGCGTAATACTAACTTCTGTTAATACTGTTTGATATATTTCCTACTTTTTTCAACTTTGATTATTTTAAACCGGGTGGGGGTATATAGGGTCTCCTTCCCCGCCAGCATTATTTAAAATGTTATAAGAATTTCAGACGAGCAAAAACAAATGCATCTGTGCTACTAGCAGGTACGCTATACAAAACCTCTTCAGTTCTAATTCCTGTTTCCTCTCTCTTTTTCGAACGCCCAAAATCCATCAAATGCCATTAAATTTAGTATCTGTTGCACTTTGTTTTGGATAATGTCACTTGAACTTCGTGAAGACACAAAATATTACTGGAGCGAATTGTCGTGTCAGAGCAGGCCAGTAAGTTAGCAAGTGCGAGACTGGTGCACTGTGTCAGACACTAATGGCAGGATTTCCTGATGAACGAGGATCCTTTGGGTTCTGTAAGGAAGAAACTTCTTTACCTGCTGAATACTGAATACGCAGGAGTGGTCATGCAAGAGGAATATGGTTACCGTGGCAGGTTTAGAATTAGCATTTTAATACAGTCATCCTGTTTGGCCAAAGAACGGTGAATTCCCGTAATTGCTAAGCTTGTGAGACTTGTGAGGTCTGAAAACAGTGAATTCATGCATAGTGTAGGGTTACACTTCCACCGGTATGTACCGCCACAACATTTTTGATTGAGAACATTCTGGGCACCCTCTGCCAAGTGTCCCTTATGGTGTAAATAAACATCTGACACCGTTATGTACCACAGAGTTTAGTGCAATTAACACCAAACCAGAATCATACACCTTTTTTGGTGCAATTCAGAACCACCTCTTAGTTTCTCCATGTCTGCCCATTTCAAGTATCAGCACACATACCATCTTGCATATGTTAATAACATTTGGTTTCGCAGACTTATACAAAACCTCTCTCAAGATATTTCCATTTTGGTGCAGTTTAATCTGAAGGGCCAAGCAACTTTACATATACGTTAGGGTATCTGTCAATTTTTAATGAAACTCCACCCATTAACTTGCGCATTATCGCGTGTAAGGTTCACTCCTTCAGTCTGATGTAAGGTCCTCACAACGTAAGGGGCTGCATGTCAAGTATTCAACTGAGAAATTATTGTTGAATGAATGTTACAGGGGTTATTAAAATAAACACGTCACATGTTATATGTTATTTGCACAAAACGTAACATTTTCGAGGAAACCAGTGGCACGAAAACAGTGCGTAGCAACTGGACACTATCGAAATGTCTGTCCAACCTCCTGCCACCGCCTTGAACTGGAGAAGACAGACAGACGTCATGCGTGGATAAAATCCACCTTTAAAAACAACAATGGCGAAGCTTTTGATCAAACTATATATACTTTTTGTGTTTGCACCCTTTCATTCATGGAACATCAATGTCAGAGCTACAATATAGCTGCCGAAAATGGTAGCACATAAATGTCAGCTGTTCATATGGGAGAAGTTCAAAATGTTCACCTTCAGCGGCAAAACATAATCTACATCGCTTAACAAAAGACGTAAAGTGAATTGTTGTGGAACACTCTATTTACATACATAAACTGACAGCAAAGTATCCAAAAGTGGTCTCAATTAAATTTGGCACATTGATTTTTATGATCCGTTTAATCACCAGATGTAATTAAAATCACCAAAATGGAAAGAAGGCGGACACGGGGACTAAGAGGCGCTTGTGAATTGCCAATAAGATGGCAACAAACAAAAAAATTTAACCAAAATGGAGGGTTTTGCAGGCACTGTAACAATGATTACAATTACGAGAGTGCATCGTTCTTTGTTTCACCCGCTCGCCACGGTGAGGCACAGGATGTGAGCGGGACCTGAAACAAAGAAACAGAACAAAAGGACTTCCATTAGATCAGCAGCAAACACAAACTGGAAGTAACGAGCAAAATGAACAGAGAAGCCTTACCCGTGTTACTGGCGTCTTGATGACTTCTGTGACAGATCTTCATTAAATGCATACTTCAGTATCCCAGCTCGTGCAAGGCGCAACTGAGTGCACCGTTTGAACGTGTCAAAACGGACAAGTCAGTGAAGCAGAAAATACACGCGACCGTAAGGGCGAGGGCACGCCAAGGAAACTGGCAACCGCAACGCAACCGCAATTTTCGAGAATTGTTATCAGCCCAACTTGAAGACGTGTTACTGATGGAGCAGCACAAATCGAGGAAACGGCAACGCAGTTTCCTAAGTTTCCGCTCTTCCATTCAGTAACACGTGTTCAACTCGGGCTGATAACAATTCTCGGAAATTGCGGTTGCGTTGCCGTTGCCAGTTTCCTTGGTGTGCTCTGCCCCTAAGTGGTCTGATGCGAGGAGAGGAAACCAACGGCACGGCGAAGTCAAACTGACGTTTCCAGGTCGGTACTGAGCAAGCGCACTTGTCGGATGAAACAAAATGTCGACGGCTTCTTATGCCGGAAACGCAAATAAAACGTACGGCATATGTACGGCGCTCCATTAAATGCGGAAATCAAACGAGAACGAACATACAAACGGGATTAAATCGGTATGTACCTCTTGAGGTTTAGAGAAAAAATTCGTCATCTTAACAGAAAACCTATTAGTGTCACACGCCTGTCGGCTAATGGCAGAACTGTCCGCCCTTGTACGTTCAATTTATATTATATTCGTTTGTTCAAACACAAATTTATTATTATATCAGTGAGACCTTTAAAGGCCGCATAACGACTGCAGTTGTCAACAAAGAGTGCATCGTGTAACTTGGTATGCAGACATCCTAGGCCTACATACACGAACAAATGGTTTCCTGACAGTAGATTAAAGTTCAATAGAGCCATGGCTTTACTTTTTCCTACCCCAAACCTAACACCAATACATTATGGGAGCACTCGGCAGTTATCACCCTGTGGACCGAGTCAGAAGAGCAAATGTCCACTACTGAGAAATATGACAAGTAGCCCCTCCTTCAGGCAACAGAGACGAAAAGGGCGGGTCATGTGCCTCGATTTCTCACGTGCAGACCGAAGCAACATAACTTACATGCACTGCACTGACATTGGCTATTCAAGATATAAATTTGTGAGTAAAATCACGTATTTCTACTACCGATCCTGGCATTTAGCTCTGAACCTGTGAAAGTTACTGACCACAAACCTTGGTACTTTAAAGGTTATGTTTCTGTTCATGGAAAATCCCAACTTCGACTGCAACCGGCAGCTTTACTAACATGTGAAATGTAAGTGTGTTCGTGTCACAGATCCCCGTTTGTGTCTTGATAAGAAATTATGTGGAGCGCTTATATTATTGTCTCAGCTGATGCGTTTCTTCGTGATTACAGCCGATGTCTTCAGTGATGATGATGATGATGATGCTGGAGCAAGTTTCGACCTACCTTATGCATTCCTTCCTGTTGACAGCCGTTTTTCTTCAGTGATGATGATGAAGCTGGAGCACATTTGACCTACCTTATGTGTTTCCTCGCTATGACATTTTATAAACAGAATTCACAGCACAACATACACAAACAAATACAACATGACACCTCATCAATTTCAATATATGCTTCTCATGTTAATATAGATTCAGTCACTCATCTTTCAACATCGAAATGAAAGACGGACCAAAGCAAAATTAAGTTTTGCTTTCTGGAATCTGTGTCCTTCCAATGCGAGTTATTCACAGGAAGAGACTCTCAAAGTTCTTTTTATCTCTCTCCCTCTCGCACTGATTTCATTTCGTGCCGACCGAACCCTGTCAAGTTGTCACCCTGTGCCATAAAAAAACACACAGAAATACTTACAACTAAACCCTCCTAAATGAGCGCCCATTATGCCAGCAAGGGCACATCTGGACACAAAACCTACATTCACGCAGCTTAACCAGAAATCCTATCGGGGGCACCTAACGGGGAGGGCGGGAGGACAACACCTTACAAACTAAGTAAAAAAAATACCAAATGCACAGGGTGTCCAACTCAACCTTAACCTAAGCCCTGAGTCATGGCGGCTACCGCATCAAATAGAGTATCCCTTGGCACGGTATGTTATTATCATGACCAGCCTGGGGCCGGACTGAATCATGATAAGACCGTGCGGTGCAATGGCATACCCGATTTACTGCGAGTACCCAACCCCATCCTCCTGCGGACGGGCCCTCAATCGCTAAAGGTTCCGTACGGCACTGTTTTGGTTTTAACGATACACTTTGCGCGGAGCTCCTCTTGCCATGGTCCTCGGTTCGAAGTCTTCATCGGATGGTCGCTGCTTCCGTTGGAGATGTCACAACACTGTCACAACACTGTCACAACACTGTCACAACACTGTCACAACACTTAGAGAGCCGTTGCAGTCCGTACAATAAATCCTGACACTGTTATATTACCTTTGCTGGCAAATGCCCACTGAAGTTCTCTGCAAAACACGCGAAATTTGCTTGTGCAAGAAGCAAATGTATGTAGCGAGTTTTCGTATTTATCGGAATTCCCTAATTAAGGTTACGATGGGCTGGTCATATAGCTAGGATATGTGAACATGGTGTGCATATCAGTTTTGGTGAGGAAAGGGTTTGGAACGAAAACAGGGGCAGAGGTGAGAGGATAATATTAAAAAGAAATGTAGGTGAAATGACTTCAGAACGGTGTACAAAAAAGATGTTTGGCACTCGCTATGTGCGGAGTTCAGGCTTCTGCTAATGCTGCATGAATTCGAACTGATTTACTTGGAGAGGGGCGGAATTTATCTGATAGTATGTGATGATTCGTTAATATGTACTTCATAAATGTAATCATATATAATAACATATTTCTTCTTCTGTGGCGCCACAGCGCGATGTCGGGCTTTGGCCTCCCTTATCAAGCCCCTCCATTCCTCTCTATCCTGCGCTGCTCTC